AACACCAAGGTGTGGACTGAATTCTTACACAAGCCACATCCATAATGCATTATCCGCAACCGAAGTTTTAGTTGTTTTAATTGGAGGGTGGAATCCGTATATTTTATCAAATGATGTGAGTGTAGAACCTCTGAAGATTTTTTTTTTTTACCATCTTATCTATTCCCTTACAGACCACATTTAAAATACAGAAGCTGTTAAAAATTAAATATAATAGCCAGTACAAGTGGCATTAATAGGCTTTAAGAGAAACATAACTGACTGGTAAATATTGAAAGCAAGCCTCGGGGGGCAGGGGTCCTTGGTCCTGCTGGAAAGTGGCTTTGACTTGAGTGGGCAGCTTCCACAGGCATGCACTGTGTGCCTACGAGTGAACGGAAGCCCAGTGCAGACGTGCGTGAGCCTTAGAACTACCTGGCAGGCTTAAGCAGACCCAGAACGCTGGGCGCCACCTTCTGATATAGAAGGTCTGGGTGGAAGGCTGAGAACTAGCATTTATTACAAATTTCCAGGTGAGGCTGGTTCTACTGGTGGGGGCGGGGGGCGGTCACCCTCTGAGAAACACAGGCACAGTCCAACCCGGGGAGTTGATAAAAATTCTCTGTGCTGTCTTTTTCCCACTTAACAAGTAAGCATTGCTGTTCATTTTAAGTTAAGCAAGGAAAGGGTATGAATTGTTGTCATGTACATTTTAGATTCCATTGTGTTTACTTCAGGGACTGAGTTGTATTACATAGAGAGGAAATTTATGTATTAATTACCAGAAATTACTAGGAATTGAATTACTGCTTTCCTGCCCCTGATGTTTAGAATGATTGCACTCTGTGCTCAAAATAGCCAATCGCTTTATTTTTAGGACTGTAATTTCTTGTTTCTGAATGAGGAGAGAAAAGGTTTCAGACCTTCCCTGCAAACGGCTTTTCTGGCAATAACACTTTGCAAATGCAGCTCGCCTTTATTCCGGATCCATGAAAAGCCACCTCAGAGATGAGATGTAATTGTCACTCTTGTTTCCTCTTTATCACGTGGGCTTTTGAAGCATGCTTGAGGTCTCCATGTGCGGGAGCTGTGATGACACGAAGTCAGGAGCAGAGTCTGCAGGTGGGTCTACAAAGCTGGTTGCATCCGACCTTGGGTTCATTTGCACTGGCCATCCTGCACGGAAGGCCAGAGGAACAGAAAGCCCATACCGGGAAAGTGAGCAAGGCAGCTTCTGCCCTCCCAGGTGTTCAGACTGTTCTGGGTTCACTGGGGAAATGTTCAAGTCATTTGACCTATCAACCTTTTAAAAACAGAAATGGAACCTGCATTCTGTCTTTGGCTATGGGAACCCTTAGATATGTAATAAGAAAACAAAACAGTGTTACATCATTAAGAACGATGGTGCTCAAGTAGATTTATATACATGGAATGGCATGTTGTCGAGTGAAAAAAGCAAGCTGCAAAAAGAGTTTCTATAGCATGAGTCCATTTTTGCAGGGAAACAGTGTTGAGATACAGCTGGCAAAATGTTCCTAGCAGTTATCTTAGCTAGAGGGAAACACGTGTTCCTAGCAGTTATCTTAGCTAGAGGGAAACACGTTGGATTCCTGGTGTTTTTTGCTTCTTATGTTTTTCAGTGTTTGCTACTCCAACTTACTTACATAACTAAAAAAAAAAAAAAAAAGAGGCAGCTATTATTTTTAAAAAGCAAATACGAGTGACCCAGAGAGACCGTAACTGTCCTCTCCCATTGTTTATTTCAAAATAATTCATGCCCTTTCCTGACCTGAGACGTCCTACAAGAAGGTGAGGCCTCTACAGGTTACGTGAGTGCAAAGTGATCTTTAGCATCACACATCTTTAAAATGCAGTATTTACTAGCTGTTTACTGGTAGGAATAAGAAACACAGAAATAGGCACAGTCCTAAGTTACTGGTATCACTATAGAAACAGTCTAGGATAAATTCTATTTTTGTTCCTGTGATTGCGAAGTTACTTTTGATCTAACATAAGAATCTTACAAAGTGTATTATTTTAAATATAGGTGAAATATTTTAAATATGCCTTTTAAATATTATTTTAGATGTTATTCATAAGTATCTCCCCCACCAAAAAAACTGGAGGATTTACTAAATATCAAGGTTACCTTCTATTAGACAGGACTGGATCATCTCTCACAAGGAAATCTATATGGGCATTTTTCCGTTGCCCCCAGTTAAAGTGGTTTGAGGGACATTTACCTAATCTTGTCTTCCGGACTCATGACTTCCCAAAGGTTGTGGCTGGATTTGAGTTGAAATACCCTGGTGGTTGTTTAAAACTTTATGTTTTAAGACTGAGAAAGCCAAGTATGTTATTTCAACACCATAATTAACATGATCCCATTGCCTGTATTTTAGAAATCTCCTTCTTTTCTATTACTCTTCAGTATAAATCATTCTTTAAAAAAAAAAAAGATCATGGAAAAAGTCCCATTTACATCTGAAGTTAAAAAAATGCTTTGCAGGGATGGGTTGATAGCTCTGGGGGGCATTGTGCTTGGGTTCAAATGCCAAGGGGCACCTCGGTGGATGCCTGACTCCGAAGGTAGGAGGTGCTTAGAGCCTCTGAAACTATCCCTAAAGCCTCCGCTTGTTTTGGTGAGTAGTAATAGTAACATACTTAGATCTTTAGAGTTGTTCCCTGGGTCTAGACGTCCGCTTCCTTTGCCTCTCTTCCCACCCTTTCAAGTGTTTCTCCCTAAGGAAATAGCAGCTAGTCATTCGGGCAGTGTGACTCGGGCGTATTTGACTCTCTATATGTAGAGAGGTTTCCAAGCCAGGGTATCAGTGATGATGTCCACATCTATAGTGTGTGTATTTTAACTCAACAGACACATCCCCCAAGCCACTATAAATAGCATAGGCAGGAGCATGAAAGTTCAAGAGAAAATATTATTGGAGTATTTATCAAATTGGGGGATTTAATTTCCAAAGTTACTATACATTTGCATTTGATGTCTGTTTGGATCATTTAAATTTGATTTTTTACGGAGGTCTGAATGATACCCAAATCTTTTCCTAAGTGGCCTAGTGCAGTCATTTTAGCTACTTCAATATTTTATAAGATTAGCACATGTCACCACAAGATAATCTCCAGAGAAACATCTCAGGACACGTGGAAAACATCGTGTTGCTCACATGGGATTTTATATAAATAATATATTCTATAATATTATGGCATATTCTAGATGCCATTTTAATGATCTATATGCTTTTTATCTGCATGTTTAGTTTTTTTTTTAATTCTCTTTGTGTCATGGAGGATTAAAAGTAGCACTTTTTAAAGTAGTGTTTGGTACGACTTCATAAAAGTGGTATTCCCAAATTAACATGTAAGATAATGGAGACCCGGGGAGTCCTGGACCAGGGCTCTCCAGGTCGCACTGTATGAAGGACACTCTTAAAGTTTCTGAAAGGTTTTGTTCTGGAATGAGTTTTGAAAGAAACCCCACCCTCCAACATCATACCTCATTGGCTGCAAGAGCCCTCAGTCCTATAAGCTATAGGAACACAATATCCCCAAAGGGAATGCCTAAATGGGAGGTATCTTGTGGTTGTCAAGTCCAGTTGGCACTGCCCCTAGCTAGTGGTTCCCATCTTCTGAGGCTATCCTGCTTCTGGAAGATGTATGGGTACATTGACTCATCTGCTAACAAACTATTTACACAGCACTTATGCGCCATTCACTTGCTGAGGCGGAAACAAACAGACTTGTCTCTTGCCCTGTTACTATTGAAATATCTAGTGGGGGAGCTGCAAACGTATTGGGCAGTTGCAACGGAGGGTGGCAAGTGCAGAGATGAGCGGGCCAGTGTGTCAAAAGGCAACTATGAGGGAGGGACACCCACCCAGACCAGGAGCTTTGGAGGAAGTGGTCTGAGTGGAGACATGAACAACAAGAGGGCATTAGTCAGCTCACCTAGCGGGAGGATGAGAGGGGAAGGGGGCATCTGCAGGCGCAGAGACCCCGAGGCTAGGGAGAGTGTGCCGAGTTTAGGAACTAAAAGTTCAGGTGCGTTGTGAGAGGGGAGATCCTTACCGGTCACGGAAAGGAGTCTGGACTTTATCTTGACCACAAAAAGAGGCCAAGAGAGGGTTTTCACCAGAGGACTATGGTTTGGAGATCAACAGAAGTTGTGATCCTGTTGAATGATTGTTGGGTGTGTTGGGGGGGCGGGACACGTGTGACAAGGGAGGGGAGATCTTCAGAATGGAGACACATCCAGCCCTGTCAGTGATTGGATGTGGATGCTAAAGCAGAGGGGAGAACCAAGCATAATTCTGGTAAGATAAGGGGCCAGCAAACTCAGCTCTAAGTGCTCACAGGGAAGTAAGACACCGACTTTAGGGTGTCTTCCCAGCTCACCCCCTCCTGGACATCCTCCTAGCCCTAGATCCAACAGAAGTTTTTCTTTTTTCATATGTGGTTCTCAAGAATTGGATATTGCTTGCTTAAAGCTAATATGGATGAAACTCTAATTCAATCAGCTTCAAGATAATGGCTTTAATCCTTCACCACACAAAGAGAGTTAAAAAGAAATAACTAAACATACAGGTAATAAGAAGCGTACAGGTCATTTAAATACGTAATTCATATCCGTGCACTTCGTCTGAAGGGACCCTCAGAGGATGGGCATAGCCGAGGGCCCGGAGCCAAAAAGAAGGGCTGCATCTGGCACATTGATGTAAGCTGGGAAGTATCCATAAAGACATCTTCACGATGTTTGAAGCCACACTGGAGGAGAATGCCAACTCTATCATATGGAAGCTAGTCAAATCTTCTTGGTTTCTTCCCCTTTCGCTAGCAGCAGCATTCCATCTACTCAGATCGGCCCCTGCCTCTTACACAATCATTCCTCCACCCACAGCTTGTCCCAGTGGGGGGAGATCAGGCCTCCAGGAAAAACACGCGACAGACTAAGATGGTCACAACCAGGGAGACTGGGTACCTTTTCACGAAATTCGGGTAAGGTGGCTTTATTCAAATGCATCATCCGCTTGGTTGTAGGACCGGTCTGACTCCACCACCCCAAGTCCTTCGTAACTGAAGTTTCTTTCACTAGAGGTTGCACTGTTCTTCCTCTTCAGAGGCTTTGCTCCCTGCAGGTGGGCCGGCTCAAACTCAGCAGAGGTCACTGTGTCGAGTCCTTTGGCAGAGGGAACCTCAGCCCCAACCGGTTCCGCTGCATCTGGATGATTGGCCAAAAGTCGGTGGCTCCTCAGCCTTTTCCTTATGTCTTCTTCTTTAGTCTGAAAAGCAGTATGAAAGAAGAAAAATGAGCCCAGATAACTTGATCATGCCTGTGCCTGAAATGAACCCATATGGCTTGTCCGTTTCATCATTCAGTCACTTCACACACACAGGGTGAGGCACTGCTGTGGAGGACAGACACACTCCCTCCCCTCCTGGAGCTTCTGGGTGGCCCTTGCTCTCCGAGTGGCCAGGTAGGAGGATGGAGACAGAGGTCGGCAGCCCATAGCTGTGCAGGCTGCTTCCGGCAGGATGGGGGACAGAGGGTGATGGGGACCAGGTGTCCTCTGATGGTCTGCCCGCCTCCCCTCATCTTCCATCCTCCCTCACAATGCCCCCTCCCATCCCTGCACCAACTGAAGCTTTTCTCCTTCCCTATGAAGAAGACTCCATTCTCAGAAGGGAATACTGCTTCCTGAGCCTACATGGATGAAACCAGCATTCAGCCAGCTTCAAGATGTTGCTTTACCCCTGCACCGCACAAAGAGAATTCAAGGAAAATTACACATACAGCACAGGAAGCATACAGGTTACTCAAACACTTGATCCCAATCTCAAAGCAGCTGATAGGAAAGGCCTATGTGAGTGCATTTCAGCAGGCAACCTGCTCAGGCGAGACTTCGGGTACCTTCCTGCGCCTCTCCACCGCCTGCATCTTCTCTTCCAGGTCGTTCACTGTGAATGCTTTTGCTTCCATTTTGAGCTTAAGCTTTTTCAGCCTGGCTGGTGGCTTTCTCAGCGGAGTCGTGTTTACCTGGAGGAAGACAGTTTTCAAAAGGGAGAAATAAATGTTGTTCAGGGGCTGAGAAGAGATCCTGGAGAGGCAGAATACACACAGTGTAAAATGTCAGTCCTAAAAATCTACACAGGTATTTTGGCAGAGTTAAAAACCACCATGTGAATGCTGGGAACAACAGAACTAATTCCTCAAAATAAATAAATAAATAAATAAAACAAGTCTTCGAGATGCCTAGAAAAAACAAAACAAAACAAAAACGGGCTCTTCCTGAAACCCATGAAAGAATGTAAATATGTTCTGGAGCCAGAAGAGGATTCAGGAGAAGAAAACATTCTGGAGAATTCTGGAGAACAAGCACAAGGCAGAGAAACGTTAGCAGATGAGTGATGAACGTGTAGTTCAAGGTAAGAAGTTAAATCTGGTAATTTTGTAATATCCCACAGGCTACAAAGACCTTTCATTTAGGATCGAGGTTGGGTTTTAGTACTCTGGGTCTCAAAAAGGAGAGAATTAACAATTACCTGAGCAGCGACCCTGCTGTGTCAGGACTTTGAGAATTTTTCATTACATTAGGAAAAATCCCTGACTATTACCCTTTCTGTAGTTCAAAGCAGAGATAATGACTTTCTGATTACAATTTCTAGTTATAAAAAAGTAAAATTGTTGTAAAGGGTTTATAAAGAAAGTTTTAATGTACATGTTTTTTCTTTTTAAAAATTAATTTTTTAAATTACTTTTTTAAAGATTTTATTTATTTATTTGAGGGAGAGAGAGAGAGCACGAGCAGGGGCAGGGGCAGAGGGAGAGGCAGAAGCAGAGTCCTGCTGTGCAGAGAGCCCTATGCAGGGCTGGGTCCCAGGACCCTGAGATCGTGACCTGAGCTGAAAGCAGATGCTTAACTAACTGAGCTACCCAGGCGCCCCTAGAAATTAATTTTTCATAACATACATTCGTCATGAAAAAGTAAAGCAATACATAAATAGTTTCCTAGGCTTCGGTTTAACCACCTGGCCCCCAGTCCTATTCATCAGCATGAACTAGAGTTTGGTATGTGTCTTTCCAGAATTCTCTATGCACAGATATTTATATACGTATGTATGTGAAGTACCTCTGTAATGTTAAGCCAAACAAATGGGATTATACCCTCACCAGGCTCTGCAATTTGCCTTTTTCACTTAATTTACTACGAATGTCCTTCTAGGTCAGAATATATAGATTTATGACAACCAGGGAAGGTCCCAGTGAACTCTGGGGTTTCATTATAAATAAACTGATTGTTCTAGGTAATTTCTCTAAAGACTTTTAAAGACAAAGGAACTATTGATACCCATTGTAATATCTAAAAGACTGCTTCTTTATATTATAAGACTGCCCATACTGAAAATAACATCCACAGAGAGGAGGTCCAGCTCAATAGAAAAAGATACCAAACCAAGACTCAGACAGACCTAGGTTTGAGCCCTGGCTTGGCCATGGTATGTCTTGGCCTGAGTTCTTAAGCTCTGTAAGCCTTGCTTTTATCATTTTAAAATGACATTTTAGGGGCGCCTGGGTGGCTCAGTCGTTAAGCGTCTGCCTTTGGCTCAGGTCATGATCCCAGGGTCCTGGGATCGAGCCCCGCATCGGGCTCTCTGCTCGGCGGGAAGCCTGCTTCTCCCTCTCCCACTCCCCCTGCTTGTGTTCCCTCTCTCGCTGTGTCTCCCTCTGTCAAATAAATGAATAAAATCTTTAAAAAAATGACATTTTAATAATACTTATTTCACAGGATTTTCTTTCTTAAGGAAGTATCAGTAATCACTCAGGAAATGGTCATTACGTTTCATTCAGTGAAAGCAATGCCTTTTTAAATGAAGTTTTAAATTTTAATTCCAGTATAGTTAACATCCAGTGTAATATTAGTTTCAGGTGTAAAATGGAGTGATTCAGCACTTCCATACATCACCCAGGGCTCATCACAAGCGCCCTCCTTAATGCCCCGCTCCTGTTTCCCCATCCCCCTCCCTCGCCTACTTCCCCTCTAATAACTATCAGTTTGATCTCTATAGTTAAGAGTGTTTCTTGGCTTGTTGCTCTCTCTTTTTTTCCCCTTTGTTCATTTGTTTTGTTTCTTAAGCTCTACATATGAGTGAAATCATATGGTATTTGTCTTTCTCGGACTTGACTTATTTCACTTAGTATAATACTCTCTAGCTCCATCCGTGTTGTTGCAAATGGCAAGATTTCATTCTTTTTTCACTTTCACTCATATATATGTATATATATATATATATATACATATATATGTATATATATATATCTATCACATCTTCTTTATCCATGCATCAGTGAATGGACACTTGGGCCGTTTCCATAGTTTGGCTATTGTAAATAATGCTGCTATAAACATAGGGGTGCATGTATCCTTCTGAATTAGTGTTTTTGTGTTTTTTGAGTAAATACCCAGTAGTACGATTGCTGGATCATAGGAAGGTTCTGTTTTTAACTTTTTGAAGAACCTCCATACTGTTGTCCACACTGGCTGCACCAGTTTGCATTCCCACCAACAGTGCATTAGGGTTCCTTTTTCTCCACATCCTCGCCAACACCTGTTGTTTCTTGTGTTGTTGATTTTAGCCATTCTGACAGGTGTAAGGTGATATCTCATTGTAGTTTTGATTTGCATTTCTCTGATGATGGGTGATGTTGAGTCTCTTTCCCTGTGTCTCTTGGCCATCTGGATGTCTTCTTCGGAGAGATGTCCACTCATGTCTTCAAGTGGTGGCTTTTTTCAACACAGAATCATCACCAAGTTACAGTGTTTGTCTTGAAGGGCAGGAATGGGAACCCAAATCACAGGGGCCAGCAGGAGTCCTGGGCTTTAAACCTGGGTTGACCACTAATACCCATGGTGTCACCTGAGACAAGGCACCTCTTCTGTTTGGACTCTGTTTTCTCTCATGGAAAAATAGTGAGGAGGCTGAGGACCACTAGGGTTCCTTCCAGCTTTAAGAACCATGATTCTCGGAAAGCCTTTTAGAGGGAAACATTTGTTGAAGTTCTGGCTCAGTTACAGCCATCAGACAGTTTTATGTGGTGAGAAGTTTTTCACTACATGAAAACCGTGGGATGTTTGTCAAAGCAAGCTCCCCTCCCCCATCACTGTATTATTTTTATGACAATTGGCTCTCAGGCTCTCTGCTGGCAAAAGCTATTTGCTGCAAAGAGGGATGTTCTTGTTGTAGTGGTTCAGCTAAAGATACTGTGAAATTAGTACGAAAACAGTTTTTTTGGGAAGTTCACTCATGGAGGGCTAAAAGAACATGAAATGGTAATCCCAGATTCAATGAAGAAGGACTCTGTGAGGCTTTCCACAGGAGTCTGCATCTTGACTAAAGGAGTAGATGAGTAGTTCTGAGAGACATGGGATTTCGGGTCTCGGTGGACTCTTCCTGTGGCTTCATCCCAGATGACACCTACAAAATCAAGTACTTCCTCCTGCTTCCGGAAGTGAATCCTCCCTGTGCAGCCCTCTTCCTTTCCTTGAAAGACCTGAGGGAAAATATCTGTATTCTTTCCCACTGGATTTTCCGAAGTCAAGATTTACCAACTGTCGGCACTTGAAAATAACAATGATACTACTACACTCAGAGAGGTGCTACTCATAGAAACTCAAAAAAAAAAAAAATCCACTCTAAAACCTATGGAAGTTGCTAGTTCAATGATTGTCTTTAAGAATACCAGCAGAGGACTGCTATGGCCAAAGATGCATGTTTGGATCATGTTTGGATAAGGTTTGGATCATGTTTCCAGCCATCCTTGCTTGTATATATTCCTTTTGCAGCCACTGTGGATTCCTCAGAGCTTCCCTAATTAACTGTTGACCCACAGATGAACTACCTTGGCTAAGTTTCCTCACAGAGTCTTGTGCACAGAATGGGTCCAAGCTTCCTGCCATTCCTGCGCCATCCCTTGAGACCACCCAGCAAGGCCACAGCGTCAGCTGACATTAGTCTTACTCAGTCCACGTCCCCCTCCTTAAGAAACTCCTCATGAAGTTCAACAATGTTAGAGACTCTGGTGCAAGATGAACCAACTCCCTCACTCTACTGGAGGTTACCACTTGGCCAGAGACAGAAGGAGTCAATAGAGAAATCGGAGTCTTGTGTTTGGAGGCCCTGGGTGGGTTTAGAGACGGGAGAAAAAGGAGTTAAGGAGAAAAGACACTTCAAGTGGATAATACCAACATGGATAAATGAGAGCCGATTACAACTCTTGTAGGGATCTATACCCATCCAGACACATAGTTTCATGTGTATATAAAGTATATACACATTTATAATACAGCCACTTAAGTCTCTTTAGAATGTTTTAAAGTATACTGAAAGATTCACTTGGTCTGATATTTAGCTTAATATTATATTCCTTACATATCATTATAATTCCTTCTGAGAGAGGCTATATTCTATTAGTATGAATCTGCTTGAAAGCATGTTATCTGGGGTGGGCGGGGCACTATGGAATTGCTGTAGTATTTGCCAACAAGCAGATGATAAAAATTAAGAAAAAAAAGTTGAATGGGAGCCTGTGGGGGACATCTATTGCCATGGAACTCCAGGGAGAGATTGGCCCATGGGGGGGGGGCTGTCCCCTGATTCAGCAGATGAGCAGAGGACCCTCACTTTACAGAATCTTTTCTTATATTTCCCTCTACATGAGAACCAAATTGCAGAAGTGGACAGATCTGTCTAACACTCCCTTATATTTATACTCTTGGTCTACATAAGAAGTCCTTTTAAAGTAGTCTCCATTTATTATTCCATTCCCCCCCAATATTTGATTTAAAAGATTTTTTTGATATCAGTGAAGAAATTGTGTTACATGTCTAGTTGGCTTCATCACATTGTAGGAACTGCTGACATTAACATCCCTTTTGGTTTGTTTATTTTTAGCCAATTCTATCATCTGTTCTTTTTTTCCTCAAAACATATTATTAAATATTGGATAGTTAAGAGCATGAGCCAATTAACTATCCAATTAAGTATGATAGTATAAATAAAAGTATGATCCAATTAACTATTATTAAATATTGGATAGTTAAAAGTATGAACTGTCTAATAATATTTCTGTTCTTAGTATGGTTCCCCTTTCAGTATTCACTCATCTTTTTACATTGGCCTTCTAACTTTTCCTAAAATATGTCTGATATATATATGTTCTCACTACACCTGAATTGAGAGACTTTACCTGTGACACTGAGCAATTATATCTCTCCTTCATTTCCATATGTTCCTGGGTATATCCTTAGTCCTCTACCTGAAAGTGCGTTATAGCATTATAATATTAATTATATAATTATATATAACATATAATAATACATATATAATTATTATAACATTGTAATATTAACATTATATATTTATTATATTATTATGTTAATATATATAGCATTATAATAACATTTTCGGGAACAATTTAGAATTTTTTTTCATAGTGAATGGTCAATTTCTTTTTTTTTTTGAGATTTTTATTTATTTATTTGAGAGAGAGAGCATGAGCAGGGGGAGTGGCGGGCAGAGGGCGAGGGAGAAGCAGACTCCCCGCTGAGCAGGGAGCCCAATGTGGGGCTCGATCCCAGGATCCTGGGATGATGACCTGAGCTGAAGGCAGACACTTAATGGACTGAGCCACCCAGGCGCCCCGGGAATTCAATTTCAAAAGATTTAACCCTTTGCAGCTTTATGATGAATTTGAGGATTTTGTGTCCACGTTGGTAGAAACCTCAGGGCAGTGGTTGGTTCTCAGCCTGAGCTGCCCACCGGAATCACCTGGGAACTCTATAGCCAGGGCTCACCCCCCAGTCACTGGTCCCAGGTGGGACCTGGGCACTGGGTTTTTTTTAACGCTTCCTAGGTGATTTGAATGTGCAGCCAGGTTAAGGACCACGGCCCTAGGCGATCAAACACACAGCTGTGTTGTTGCAAGTCTGGATTATGCTGGAACATCATAGCCCAATTGCAAAGCAAAAAGCAAAAGAAACGAAATGTGTTATTCTTGCCTACCTCTGTGGTCCTGTCATCTTTAAGATTTTTTTGAGAACCCTCCAGCTAGGCTCCTGACAACAACTCCATTTCTATATAAAATGAACCCAGTCTTTCTCTTGGGCTCACCTAATGATGTTATTGAAGGTCAAGCCCATAGTTTTCATTTTTCAATAGATCTATTTCTTTCATGCTGTAGTTTAGATTAATTAACTCTGCTGGTGCCCTTGTAAAGATGCAGTCTGAACTCATTCATCTCTGGCATTTGAAACACTGACAAATGTTTTAATGCTGCTCCCACTGCTGTTAGCATCAGGGTTCTCACAGCATTTCCCTAAAGAAGGCATCGCTTCGCTACTGAAAGTTTTCACCATCCATTCTCCTCCAGTTTGCTCTCCTGTCTTTGTCCTTTTGACACACCTTCCCTTTTCTGACCCCCAGAGACTCCCCAACAGCTAGAAAAGAATCCCTCCCCTCCTTTTCCATGTTAAAGACCCATCTTCTAGTACTTTCAAATAAGATACGGTATTCTGAAGTGCCGTGTATCACAATAGTGTCGCCCAGATGTAAACTGTCATTATACTGGCATTATCTTTTCCCTTATATCATCGATTTTTACCATCCCCTGACCCCTACACCCTCTTATTACTGGCAGCCCGATAATACCATTCATGAGGATTTGCAATCTCCTCTCTTTTCCCCAAATACCTTCTGCAGGACGTGTATTTTCCTTCTTCAAAAGAAAATGCCGCTTTGGCTTTTATTCATGAGTTCTCAGCATTTCCTACACGCAGGGAAGGAAATTATCTTTATTCAAACACTTAAGTGACTTGGTCGAGGTGGCAAACTTAATTTAAATAATGCATCTTTTTTATTCCCAGTTAGTTGTTTTCCCTACAAGACGGGGATGGGCAACCATAGAGGAGACCTTGATGTTCCTTCTGGTCCCTACTTCCATCATTTCTGTGTCTTTCTTTTTTTTCCTTACTCATTTCTCCTTAGGCTTCTTTTCTCTGTTAATTCTTCTTTCCATCTTCTTTAGGATGATGGGGGTTGCCTGGGCGCTTTGGTCAACAAACAAACAAAGGAGAAAACAGACCAAAACAACACCTGCTATCCTCTTCCTGGGCTTAGAACTTATTAAAAAATTAAGGAGTCAAGACTTGGCCCACAACCAGTTAAAATCAAAGTAAAAATACTGCCCACACTAAGGAAAAACAATGATCAGTTAGTCAAGATGAATCAACAAAGAAAAAAAATTAAAGTATGAGGATTTTTATCATTGTATTCATTTCCTCATGTTTGACCTTAGGGTGTATATAAGCATATCTGTTACAGCTTTGGTATTTAGGTGTATTTTCCTATTACAGAAATCGAAGTTCAGTTTTATAGTCATAATACCTAGTACACAGGTAATGCTTAATAAAAATTGTTCAAAGAATGAAGGCAGGTTATTCAATGGGACTTACTATCTCTCAAATTCAGTAAAACCCAAGATGTTTTATTGGCTTCATTAATCGTTGAAGATTAGAGCAATTTCTGGGGTGCCTGGCTGGCTCAGTCGGTGGACCATGCGGCTCTTGGTCTCAGGGTCGTGAGTTCAAGCCTCACAATCGGGTTAGAGGTTGCTTAAATAAATAAGTTTGAAAAAAGGATTAGGGCACTTCCTGAATCTGTAGAGAAGGGTGATGTGTAGACAGGAGAGAGAATTTATGGGCGAAAAAACTGGCTTAGCTAAATGCTACAATCTGCATGGTGACTTGAAGAGTTTGCAGACTGTTACTTGTTACCGATCCTATTCTATTGCTATTTTTAACTATAAGCTAATGTTAATTATGGAATTACTTGCCATGACATCATAAGATTCTCCATTTCCAAATACTTTGCTGTGGCTTTGTATTATTCCTTGAACAATTAATTCCTCCAGAATGTCTGATGACTTTTGTCTCTCTTGGCTCTCTAGGGGTTGGGGTTTACGGATTAATCCGGTCACTAGGTCTAAAGGGAAAGAAAGAAGGAATAGAAATGTAAGCATGAACACTTTATCAATCAGATGCTAAATGGATGCCTTATAAATCACGTTACTTAACTAAATCTTAGTCTCAACACTTTTACCTATGTATCTGTTTCTATTATAAATCTTTGAATGGTTTGAAGTTCAAATTCTTAATGTTCTTACAGAGGATACACATCAGCATAATATACTGTTTATTTAGCAGACCCCATGTTAACATAAAAAAAAGTCTTTCATGTGCTGCTATGCACTACTTTTTTGTTGTAACAACACTTACACACTTGAGTATGACTACATGGGTTCTCTACGCTAATTATGAAGCTAAAACACAGCTAGGAAGGAGATATTCTTCCAGTGACTCTTCTGAGTTGCAGTTTGGTTTCTATGCTTTGTATACAAAGCATAAACAGTGGGATGTTGCCAAGAGACTTCTAGTTCTGCAACCTTGAGTTTACAATGACGTTATCTGCTAAATCTATGTAAGTAAGAGTATGCCTTTTTGAAAAGAGTCTTTGAACCAAATCACAATTGAAGTCAAGTGATATCAGCTACATTTCTTTTACTGTTTCTAAAAATGCACTGAGACAGTTTCTTGGGGAGCCTTTATAAACTGCACTAATGAGAGACCCCCCCATTAGAAATCACCCACTTCTACAAATAAACAAGCAAGCATCTGTTTTTACAGACTCACATTATAAAATAAAGGTGCAATGAGGAGTCCTCAGAAGTGGGCTATCTTCTGTTTTGTAATCATCGGGAAGTCCTGATAGTAACCAGATTCATTCCATCTAGTGGACAGAGTCTTTTTATGAAACTTTCTAACCTCACTGGTTAACAAAGACAGTTTTCATGAATTTGTAGTGGGAAGATAAAAGAAAAGAAAACGCACCCACACACCCACACACCCACTAGCCAGATGTTTCTCACTTCAGAATATTCACCTTGTTGTTACAAGAGACTTCTTTATTGACCACGGCAAGTAACTTCAACAAATTGCCAATAATCTCATTTCTCGTCCAGTGCTGGGTCTTCTACCCTTGAAACAGACTCAATTTTCACTTTAAAGAGCTATGTACAGATTTTGGTAGAGTGGTAAAACATGTCTTTCAAGTCGGTAAACTAGTAAACTAAAGCTTGAAACAATAGAGAAAAATTCAATAAAAAGTTAGAGGTAAATCCTCTTCAAAGAATTAGGAGGATTTTTTTTTTTCTTTTAGAAGGTGGGCTTATCTGGAAGGGTCAAAGTAATAGTTATTACTTACTGAGCACTTAGGTGCCTGGCACCATATTAGGTACTTTACATACTTTGTAACATTGTGAATTCTGTGACAGAGTTACCATTATCCCTATTTATAAATAAACTATATGAGAGAGGCGAATTAACTTGCTTAAGGTGACACGGGTAAGAAGAGAATCAACTAGGATTGGAATCCAAGAATGTCTGACTTTAATACCCATGTTCTCTGCCACCTCCTTCCCCAAGGTCATGGAAAGAGCTACACTGCATGGTCCATTTCCCCTCTCAGGATGCTTCTATTCTTTTTTTTTTTTTAAGATTTTATTTATTTATCTGTCAGAGAGAGAGAGAGAGAGGACAAACAGGGGGAGCAGCAGAGGGATAAGGAGAAGCAGACTCCCCGCTAAGCAAGGAGCCCGATGCAGGACTCGATCCCAAGACCCTGGGATCATGACCTGAGCAGAAGGCAGACACTTAAACTAACTGAGCCACCCAGGCGTCCCATCAGGATGCTTCTAAAAAGAATGCCATAGTCGACAACTATCACTAATGTAATAAAATTATTAAAATGATTATGAAATAAAAACAACCATCTCGATCAATTATTTTTCTGAGTTTACCAAAATACTGGCTTGACATCGATGGGGGTCAGCCTACAAAGAAACCCCTCCACTATGATGGTCTTGCAACTAATCCTTGTGATATGTCGGGATGCTGAAGATGATTGGGGGAATGTGGGAAAGTGACATGATGTTTCTTTCTGATTATGAAAGTAATACATGGTTATCAGAGTAAACTTGGAAAGTATAGAAAAAAAGAAAAATGCTCATCCTCTTACCATTCAGAGATTACCACTGTTGCTATATCAAATTCAAATTTTATTTTTACAAATTTGACCTCATACTGAACGTACAGTTCTGTTTCCTATGCACTTAACATATAGATTAGCGTTTTCTCACAAGGCTAGAAATTCTTCATAAGCGTAAAAAGTGAAGTCGTAGAAGAAAACGTAGATGAATTCATCTTTAACTCTGGCGTAGGGAAAGGCTCTCTAACTATGACTCAAATTCCAGATTCAGTAAAAAAAAAGATTGATAAATTTTACATTAAAAAAATGTTTGCGGGGCGCCTGGGTGGCTCAGTCGTTAAGCGTCTGCCTTAGGCTCAGGTCATGGTCCCAGGGTCCTGGATTGAGCCCCGCATCGAGCTCCCTGCTCCGCGGGAAGCCTGCTTCTCCCTCTCCCGCTCCCCCTGCTTGTGTTCCCTCTCTCACTGTCTCTCTCTGTCAAATAAATAAATAAAATCTTAAAAAAAAAGTTTGCAAGGCAAAAAAAAAAGCAATAAAGGTCAAATATAGATATCGCATGCCTCCTGATTTGATGTACTAAACAGGGTATAATATCATTTTTGGTATTTTTGCTAAAAATGGATAACCTGAAGCTAATCATCAGGAAATATCAGAAAGACACAAACTGAGGAAGTTTCTATAAAGTAAATGGCTTATGTCTCCAAACACATCAATTAGATAAAAGACAAAGAAAAGCTGAGGAACTGGCTCCAGATTAAAGGAGAAAAACACCGCATGATACCTAAATTAAACATGTGATCCTGGATTAGATCTTGAACGTGATATTTATTTATAAAAGACATTTGTGAGACAATTGATAAAATTTGAATATACAGATGAGATAATGTACTGCATAAGGGGTAATTTGCTGACTGTGATCCTTCTCCTGTGATTATACAAAGAATATCCTTGGTTTAGGAAACACATACTGGTGTACTTAGGAGTAAAGTGTCATTATGTCTGCAATTTGCTCTCAGAAAAAACCTATGTGTGTGTGTGTGTGTGTGTGTGAGAGAGAGAGAGAGAGAGAGAGGGAAGGAGGGGGAGAGAGAGAGACCGTGATGCATGTAATTATATCACATTCAAATGTGGTATAATGTTAGAATTTGGGGAATCTGGGGGAAAGAATGCAGGCATACCTTGTTTTTTGCAACTTCCCTTAAGTCTGAAATTATTCAAAGTAAGTTTTTTTTTTTAAAGGAAAGACTTGGGAAGTGTTAGTGTGAAACTTGAAATTTTTAACAAATACACTCTAAAGATGGGCAGAGCAGGGATGCAGAAAAGAGACAGAGGAGAAACTGGGCAGAGAACAAATATAAAGCGTAGGATACTGGTTCTTATTCATTCTGTGGGAAGGTCTTTCCTGGAAACTAATTTACGCCACATCTTGGGAACACCTACTTTAAAACTCACTCCCTCCCCAGCCTGGTGTCTGTCAGCACTACCCCGCTGGATGGACTGACTGAGGGTTCGCCCGGGTCCCTGTGCACCTGACGGTCTACAGTCTGCTAGCACCATAGACGCTGAGCATCTGTGCCAAGGTCTAGGAGGAATTCCCATCAGTGGAATTATTGAGAAAAAATATACCTGCTGGCCGGACACACAGAGAGAGGAGAGGCCGCCCAGCTGTATCCCCCACCTCCTACCTCACACCAGAACCACGAGGTGAAGGCTAATATGAAATCTACCATTAGTAGAGAGTGCCCCCAAAGTCCAAGGAAAAGAATCTCATTTACTAACCCATCTATTTTTTTAAAGATTTTATTTATTTATTTGACAGAGAGAGAGACAGCGAGAGAGGGAACACAAGCAGGGGGAGTGGGAGAGGAAGCAGGCTTCCCGCGGAGCAGGGAGCCCGATGTGGGGCTCGATCCCAGGACCCTGGGATCATGACCTGAGCGGAAGGCAGACGCTTAACGACTAACCCAACTATTTTCCAGGTCTGACATGTGCCTACGGAAGAAATGACAGTGGTGAGGAATGACACGAAAGCCTTCCCCTCAAGTAAACCAGAGCATTTTTCCTTGAGTTCTATTGAGTTCACTTTGTTTCAGAGGCTCTTAAATCAACACCAGGGGTGGGGTGGTGGTAACTCAAGTAAAGAAAAACAACCACGGGAAAAATCAAAATAGTTTCTAGGGAGCACACCAGGTCATAATGACTTCTTCTGTGTTTTTGGAAGATGACTATTTTGTATATTTGCTGATCCTTTGGATGGGAGACATGGGGGAAACAGTTTGATGTAGGTTATATTTATTTTTTCAAACGGAGAACTTTCTCTTGGAAAGATGCGAACACAGCGGAAGTTTACAGGAATGTAACCGAAGTCTGTGTGAGTCTTATTCCTAAGGCTTGTTTCCCAACCACCAAGAAGGGCTCTTAGCTTAAAAAAAGAGAGAGAGAGAGAGAGAGAAGAAAGAAAGAAAAAAGAAAAAAAACAAGACAGTTTTAATTACTTCATCTGCAAGAAGATTAATGGTTAGCATTATTTATTCACATAATGAAGTCCTAAGCCTCCATCCTCATGTCTCAGAGGTAGGGACTTTGCCATTTGGAGCACTGCCTGGTCCACAAAAATGTGATAAAAGGGTTGCTACCATACATTACACAATATGCTTAGAGACACAGTATTTTGTGGAGATTCATATAAATGAGGGCCATTACCTGAATTTATTCTTCTGTTTCTTTCACTAAGAGCTGGGGAACTTTCTGGTATGGTTCCAGGTAAGCTTCCCAATGGAGCCTGGTTTTCCAGGCTGTCGGGGCTGCCCACAGTGTCCTTGGGTAGTGCAGCTTCATCCTGGGGCCTGCTGTCCTCCCTGGAATGAGTCCCACCGACATCAGCCTGTGAAAAGGGAATAGCCCCGTGTGAGAGTCAAGATTTCTTAGGAAATGGTTTCTTGGAAGATGGAAACAACATCACAAGGTCTGCTTTGCGAATATTCAGCCAACTAGTACCTGTAGTGGAGGCCAGATAGCCCCAGCTCCCTGGGGATGTTACCTTGCTTGCAGATGTGATTCATTTAAGGGCCCCGAGATGGCTCGATGATCCTGGATTACCCAGGTGTGACCACGAGTGTCCTTATGAGACAGAGACAGGGTGACGCGACTACAGAAGTGGAGAAGGTGATTGATGTGCCACAAAGCAGAGACACACTGAAGATGCTACCAGCAGCAGACAGCGGAAGGGCCACCAGCCGCAGAGCGGGAGGAATTCGGCTCTAGAAGCCAGGACACACAAGGAAGACGATTCCTTCCTCACAGCCGCTGAAAGGAACCAGCCCCGCCAACACCTTGACTTGAGCCCAGTGGAACTGATTTTGGTCTTCAGACCTCCAGAATTGGAAGAGAGTAAAACTGGGTGGCAGTGAGCCACCAAGTGTATGATAATTTGTCATAGCAGCAATAGAAATGGATATAGTATCTACTAGGAATCTATCAGATACAGGCTACTACACTGAGCACCCCTGATGACTCCAAGATGAACACGTTCATCAAGTGTGCAAAGTGAAGATATTGCGGTGTAAAAAAGGTTTGTTTTTTTTTTAATGAAAGTGTCTTTATTGTTTTTGCTGATTAAAAAAGTAATACAGACTCATTGTGAAAATAAGTAATACAGAAACTGGTGATGATCAGTTTTATGTGTCAACTAAGCTAGTCTATAGTATTGTTATTCCATCAAATTAGGTGTTTGTTGTCAGAGTATTTGGTAAATGTGGTTATCGTCTACAATCTGTTGACTTTAAGTAAAAGAGAGTATCCTTGATAATCTGGGTGGCCTCATCCAATCAGTTGAAGGCATTAAGAGTAGAATCTTCCCCGAGGAAGAAGGAGTTCATTCTGTGGACTGCATCTTCAATTCCAACCTGTCCTTTCTGACCACTTATGCTTTTGTGTGGATTTTGGACTTGCCTAGCCAGCCCCCATAATTGCATAAGCCAATTCCTTGTAATACATCTATCCATCTATCTATCCATCCATCCGTCCATCCATCCATCCATCCATCCACCTATCTATCTATCTATCTATCTATCTATCTATCTATCTATCTATCCAGCCAGCAAATCATAATCCTGGTTCTGTTCTTTTGGTAGAACCTGAATGATACAGAAACACAGTAGAAAGTAAGTAGGTACTATTCCCTAGACAAAAGCACTATTAACATCTTAGTATATAACTTCCCAGATGTGTTTGTTTAAAGAAATAGAATCTTTAAAAATAAATTGGAATTGGCTAATTAGCACATGAAGATGCTCAATATCATTAGTCATTAAGGAAATGCAAATCAAAACCAGAAGGAGATACCACCTCACATCCACCAGGATTACTACAATGAAAAAACCACATAATAAGTGTGAGCGGGGATGTGGGGATATTGGAGCCTTTGTACAGTGCCGTGAGAATATAAAATGGTGCAGCCACTTTGGAAAACAGTTAGGGTTTCTTAAAAAGTCAAACAGAGGGGCATCTGGGTGGCTCAGGTGTTTAAGCGTCTGCCTTCAGCTCAGGTCATGATCCCAGCGTCCTGGGATCAAGCCCCACATTGGGCTCCCTGCTCAGCAGAGAGTCTGCTTCTCCTTCTCCCTCTGCCCCTCCCCCTGCTGTGCGCTCTCTCTCTGTCTCAAATAAATAAATAAAATCTTAAAAGAAAAAAAAAAGCCAAACAGAATGTTAGCGTTTGATCCAAAAATTCCACTTCTAGATATATATACCCAAGCAAAATGAAAACATATGTCCACACAAAACCTTGCACACAAATGTTCAAAACTAGTATTCATAATATCTAAAAAAGTAGAAACAACCCAAATATCCATCAACTGATGAATGGATAAATATAATGTCGTCTATCCAGACCAAAGAATATTATATGGCAATAAACAGAAATAAAATACTGAAGTATGCTGTTACATAGGTGACATTTGAAACCATTAATGCTGAGTGAAGGAAGCCAGACGCAAAGATGGGTCCACTTACCGAATATTTGGAATAGGCAAATTAATAGAAGCAGAGTATAGATTTAGTGGTTGCTTGGGAAGTGGAGGTTGGCCACTAATGGATAGAGGTTTCTTTTGTGGGGAAGATAAAAATGCTCTAAAATTAGATTGTGGTGATGACTGTGGATTGTGCATTTTAAATGGGCGAGTTGTATGATATGTGGATTATATTTTAATAAAGCTATTTGTGAATAAATCAGGTCATATATTAAATGGTATTGTATTATTTTTTAAAAGATTTTATTTATTTATTTATTTGAGAGAGAGAGAATAGAGAGAGAGAGAACACATGAGAAGGGGGAGGGTCAGAGGGAGAAGCAGACTCCTTGCTGAGCAGGGAGCCCGATGCGGGACTCGATCCCGGGACTCCAGGATCATGACCTGAGCTGACGGCAGTCGCTTAACCAACTGAGCCACCCAGGCGCCCCCAAATGGTATTGTATTATATTTCTGTAACCTGTTTTTTCATTAACAATATATCAGAGACATTTGCTTCCATCAGTGTATATAGTGTATATAGGGGTATATAGGTCAGTGTATATAGGTTTACCTCATTCTACTTAATGGTGGGGAGTAGTCATTTAGTTGATGACTGTAGTGTGGTCTATTATGTAATATACCACAACTTGTTTAACCAATTCCTACTGATGGCCATTTAGTTGTTTCTACCTGTGTTTATATATGTGTTTCTATATATATTTTCAATATAATGAACAGTGCTGGCATAATACCTGTGCATAAACATCAGTGTGAACTCACCCAATCATTCCATGAGAATAAATCCCTAGATATGGACATGCTGGATCAAAGATGTACACATCTTATATGAATACAGGTTTCTAGAGGGTCCTCCATAAATCCTGCACTGGCGTACACCACCACCTTTCCCTTTTAAGAATATCAATTTCTCCATACTACAATTCCGTTGCTTGCAAATAGGTCAAAACTCTGTAAAAAAAGGGCCCATATATGATTTAGTTTCACGGGGACTGCAGAATGCTGGTCCGCATCAAATCTTTCAGAGTCCCACAACAAGAGAAGAAAAGTAAGACAAAAATGTAGTGAGTTTTTCAAAAAGCTAAATTAATTCAATTTAAAGAACTGTCATTTATTTGGAAAGGCAGCAGCATGTTCTAAATATTGGTCTGTTCAGGAACACTTTTCTCCAGTTCCTTCTAACTCCCCTGCCCGCTCCCTCTCAGCGTTGGCTCTTCTTTTCTTGCTTGGGTTGATTGGCCAAACTCTTCTGCATCTAAGACACACATACCAGAGGAAGCCTCTTCAGTGTCCCCAGGAGACCTAAGAACATAATCACCTTCTATGACTATTGTCCCCTGGGTCTTCTTCTCATGTCTATTGATTTCACGTTGTTGGCCCAAGGGGTGCTCTTCCTCTCCTCTGTGTATTCGAAGGGCCCCAGGATCCTACCTCCAAACCCCACTATTTCCAGCAATGCCCTGGTACCCTAGTACCACGTTGTATCTTGCTGGGGCAGCAGAAGGTGTTGAAGAAGAGAAGATGCTTGAATTGGGTCTTGATGATTGAGTTTCCAAGAAGAAAAGTGGGCAAGAAGAAAGGGTCCTTCTAGACAAGAGTCTAAGCACACACAAAGACAGGGTATGAAACAATATTGTGAGCGTATGAGCTTGAATTTTTCCAGTGGAGCAGAAACAGATGGAGGTATAGAGGGGTAGGTGCTGAGGTGGGAAAGGAAAGTCAAGGAATTTGATTTTATTTTAAATGCAACAGGAATCCTTCGTAGGATTTCTGTATATGGAAGTGAAATAAAATAATCAGGCATGTGTTGTTAGAAAAATCACTGGGATTAGTGCAAACTAAGGGAGCTGAAGGAAGCAAGGAAGAGACAGAGCAGGGTGGCCAGTAACGATGACTGCAATTTTCCAGGTGAGATCTCATTGAACGTAAACTAGGACAGTGGCAGTGAAACTGGGGGAAAGAGATGGGCCCAGAAACATTAGAAAGGAAGACAGCACACTTCTCAGAATTTCCATTTAAAGGAGGGAGGTCTCGGGGCGCCTGGGTGGCTCAGTCGTTAAGCGTCTGCCTTCGGCTCGGGTCATGGTCCCAGGGTCCCGGGATCGAGCCCCACATCGGGCTCCCTGCTCAGCGGGAGTCTGCTTCTCCCTCTCCCACTCCTTCTGCTTGTGTTCCTTCTCTGGCTGTGTCTCCCTCTGTCAAATAAATAAATAAAATCTTTTAAAAAATAAATAAATAAAGGAGGGAGGTCTCTCTGGTTTGAAGTTATGACTCCAGGCACTAAACAGAAAGCATTCCCTTTGGGAAAATTGAATAAGAAAAAAAAAAAACAAAACAAAACAGGACAACAGCATGAAACTCCTGGTACTCTCACCATAAAAATCATACAAATTAAAAAAAAAAAAAAAAAGCTAAGCACATTTGTTCACTTTCTGGAAGTTCTCCCAAGTGCTTTGAAATCCCTCGGAGGCTAAGTAGAAATCACAGCAGCTAGGTCATGGTGGCTCCAACACCCTCAGGTTCTTGTCATTGAGTTAGGGATTCTCGTATGTTCATAGGGAGACTCACATAGCTCCTCATCACCGGTTTTACATAGCATGATCGCTCTAGCTAAATCAACATCACTTTATCGTGCTGAGGGTTAATTAGATCTGTGCTTCAGGACTACAGGGGAAAGTATGAAAAAGTGACGCAACTGAACAAACGAGTAAGCAAAGAAGTCAATCGATCTGAAATACAAATGGTATACGGAGAAAGCATGAGAACAAATATGTGCTTTTTCTTTCTCTCTCCATTTGTTTTTCTTCCTCGACATAGTTACTGCCGTGTAGTCCCTGTATGGTAAGCCGACCAGGGAAAGTCTTTATAGATATTACATATTATTATTTATTATATAATAATCCTATTATATCAGACAGGGTCTCTCTCACATGCACACACACACACTTATGCACACATATATCGCAAATATATATAAATACATATTGTTACATATAACAAAGGAAAAGGAGACTGATATTTTTTCTAGGACTCACAGTTCATGCTGAAGGTAAAGCAAAAGTCGTGTTAGGTATTCTTGCCCCTCTTTCCAAATGAACTATTAAAAAACAATTATCTGCAGTGATGGTGAGACAGGTGATTTTACAACTTCGTTTTGTTTTGCAGACCCTTCGATTTTTGGACCTAGGAAGGCACTGAGTTAAACACAGGGAGGAGTGTGGCCATCTCACATTTCCCATTGGAGACCCTGAAAAATTTAACCACAACAAACAAAATGCCCATATTGGAGCTGAGAGCAAATTTGAACATTCTCAGCCTCAAAGGTGGCTTTTCACAAAGATATTCTGTCATCTACAAGTCAGAGTATATTTAAGTGCCACAACCCTGCATGATCTCCCAATGGTTTCATCAAAGCCACGAACCCAGGCCTTAGCAAGGCTCTTCACCCATTTATGCTTACTTAGACCCAGTCTGCCTTCAAGCTGTGTTAGTGACCAAAGCTTAAATGGTAGCAGAGGAAACACAATCTTTTGACATAAAATACCATATACCAGCCTTCAGATTCCAGAGCAGAAATGTAAGGTTTTTCTCTTTGGAAAACTAAGTCTGTCTTTCAAATACCTTATCCATGTGCAACACATTCTGGAAATTTTAACCCTATTTCATAATCTAGACTGGAAAATAGACAGAGTTCGAAGACCAGAGATATTTACAAAGTAATTATATCTCTGCCCCTCGGGGATATGGCAAAACAGATTTCTTGTTCTTTTTATGCTTGGAGGGTTTTCATTTTCACACCAATGAGAAGTCTATCTGCCGTGGTGCTGGGAGTGAGGGTGGGGAGGTAGGGGGAGATTTTATTTTTTCCTTGAGATGAAGCTGTGGTAGAAGTACAGAATCAATATGTTTCTGTATTTTGTATCAATTCTATTCTATACTTCATTGTCTTAGGGATAAAATCTTATCAATTTTAGACAGAATTGAAAAGCTGAGAATTCTAAGCTAACAGCGATGCAGGAGAATCATCAGCATTCCAAAAAAGATACTACTTTTAACTACAGACAGAGTTGTTTTTGGTGTTTTGTTTGTTTTGGGTCTGGAGGTTGTGTTCTAAATCTTTCAGGAAACACATTTGCCAAACAGTTTGGAGGGAGTCATCTGTCAAGTCTCCCCTGAGCTGAAACCTTAAATCACATTATTGGCAGATGCATTTTAAAAATACGTTTGTCTTGCAGACATATAAGAAAAATGTATTCTTCAAAATTTGATTTTTCTAGTTTACATCTAATGAATGTAAAAACAAATAGCAACCCTCCAAAAACGCTCAGAAATATTATCTTTTAAAAATCTTGACTAGAAGAAGTCACTTAGTCCCTTTTATTCTGATGATAAACAAGACTTTTCTTGTCAAAGATTAGGGAAAACCTGTGAAGCACCCTTAGAGATGGTCTATTCCAATCTAGTCTGTTCCTTTTCATAATAAACCGTAAACTCGGAGTTCATCCTACAGAAGAACATTTCTCCAACTGAGAAAAGGTTCCCCTGCTTTTCTTATCGTGCATTATTTTATTACCGTGTCTTTTTACCACTTTAGACAAAGGTAAAAGTGAGGAGAAAGTCAGTAGGCAGGTCTTGAGAAGTTCGAGTCAGAATATTTTAAAGTTGTGCCGCTAAGAAACATAAATATTTCACGCAAGCAAGCACGTTCATCTCATTTTAAAGACACCGGTGAACTACTGAACCCTCAGCCTGTGCATTTAGGAAGTTGGCAAAAGCATCACTGCTCTGATAGCTAGAGAGTGTTTAATTAATAATCATACCTTTGCTGGATCAGATTTCCAAAGTCAAGTGCTTGGGGTGGGGGAGGAGGTATATGCGGGAGAAGGTAGTAACTCAGGATTGCACTGGAGGTCATGAAAAGGACAAGCTGGAGCACAGGTGGGGGTGGGCAGGAAGGATCCAGAGAGACCAGTTAGGAGAACTGGACAGGAGTCCAACAGAGACGCAGTGACTTTCACACCCAGGGACTTCAGGAAGAAATACAGAAACCCTCCCAAGCTTGAGGAAGCTTGGCTTAGAGGGACCCAGTGTATCCAACACACAGAGAGGATTGCTTTTTATCACTTCCTCCTGCTCTACCTCCCTCCTGCTCAACAAAATCATTTTCAGTAATAACCACAAAATGAAACAAAGGATAATGGCCAGATAAGAAACACAGATAGTGAAAATTTACTTCTATGGAAGTCTTACTCGTAATCACGCCAGTAGAGTAAATTAAAAATTTTTTTTTCATATGAAAAGAATAAAAGCACAATGGGTTAATATTTTAAATCACATTAATATATTTTTTTAAAGATTGTATTTATTTATTTGAGAGAGAGAGCGAGCGCATGAGTGGTGGGGAGGGGCCAAGGGAGAGGGAGAAGCAGGCTCCCCACTGAGCAGGGAGCCCGTCTTGGGGCTCTATCGCCGGACGCCGAGATCATAACCTGAGCTGAAGGCAGATGCTTAACTGACTGAGCCACCCACATGCCCCACATTAATATAGTTTTTGGAAAAAGGGAGAAAAATGTATTCCTATATATTAATTCAAAGCAGTAATGAGTAATAAAGATGACCAATTGTTTCCAAGAAGCTAATACATCTATGAGGCAGAAGGAGTTTTAAAACAAACATTTACCACGTGAGAAAGGACTGTCACAGCAGTGGTGTTTGGGCTCGGTGCTGGAGGTTAAGTAGGAATTCATCAGGTGAACTGGAAATGGGGGTCTGGGGAGGGCATTCCAGGAAGGGGGAATGGCATGGGGAACAGCATAAACGGAGTTGATGAGCAGAGGAAGGGAGCACTGCAGGCTCCTGGGGCAGACCCAGGAGTATGCTGGACTGGACACAACGACGTCAGAAAGAACGGCGGGACCACATGCAAAGAGTTTTGCGCACTCCAAGGATTTTTTTTTCTTAGGAAGAAAGGTGGCAGTGTGAGAGGTAGATGGGGTAGGGCGGATGCCAATGGGAGAGGCAGGAAGACCCAGCAAGAGGTAATAGGGCCCTAAACTGGGACAGAGGCAATTGGGATAGAAAGCAGGAAACAGGGGCGCCTGGCTGGCTCAGTCGGGTAAGCTTCTGCCTTCGGCTCAGGCCATGATCTTGGGATCCTGGGATCGAGTCCCGCATGGGGGTCCCTGCTCCTCGGGGAGCCTGCTTCTCCCTCTCCCTCTGCTGCTCCCCCTGCATGTGCTCTCTCTTTCTCTGTCAAGTATAATAAATAAAATCTTTTTAAAAAAAGAAAGCAAGCAGAAAACAGTGTCAAGATGGTGGGTACCAGGTCCTAAGCCCGAGTCTCTGGTTTGTTTTATGATGTGCCCCAAGAGCCTGGCATGTGTGCCACCCACACAGTAATTGCTGGAAGTGGCATCAAATGGACTGGCACATTTCTGAAAAAAAAAAAAAAAGGTGTGCTCTTTAGATAGTAGCTCCAAAAATGCCCTTTTGGTAGGGTGACTGTAAATCCTGGTTTTCTGCAGACTGTATGGACTTAGATTGGGCAAATTTGTTAATAGTGTTCCTTTCCACTTTTAAAAATATCCTGCTTTTGATGATAGATTATATGGTAATATTATCTTTAGGTGACCCCTCTCCAAGGTATAGCCCTGCAGGTTCCCAGTTTCATTTGTGCAATACTGATGGTGGTGAGGATGGGAGGAAATCCTGGACCTCATCCCTCCAGGCCCCACCTTGGAAAAAATTCCCCTTCATATCTCCAGAAAAATTACGGGGTTTGCAACCGAGAGAGAGAGAGAGAGAGAGAGAGAGAGAGCGAGCAGAGAGAGTATTGGAATGAAACTCTTGAAAATCAGATTCTATCTCCAGCTCTGCCCCCAAACAAGCTGTGCAGCCTCAGGCAAGACGTCCACCTCTCTGGGCCTCAGGGTCCTCCGGGGATAAGCGAGAGGGCTCAGCCAGACGGATGGCCTCCACGATCTCTTCGAGCTCTAAGTAATTCTCAAAGAGCCCACTTTCCGAAAGCCAATAACGTACAGCAGCTCCCAGGCACTCGCCCCGCCCCCGACCACGAGAATCACCCCCAACCCCAGCTCTGGGCAGAACGCACAGCTCTACCCGCCACTCCTGCCTCTGCCCTGGGGTGTGACCACCTCCGCAAGTTCTTGAAACACAAAAGGCTCTCAAAGCTAGTCCTGTGGCAGGATGAGTCCTGGATTCAACAGCAGTTAAACACGGGGTAAGAGAGCGGCTCCCACCCCCCCCACCCCCCCCCGAGGTCTGTGAGCCCCTGCGGACCCAGCTCCAGCCTCCAGTCGCCCCCCAAGCGGGGCAAACGGCTTTGTGCCCGCCTGTTTGTTGTGTTTGCTTGTTTTACCTTAAATCCCTCCTCCCAGCCCTTCCTGGGCGCGGGCACGCGTCTCTGGTCTTCAGCAGCCCGGGAAGGTCCGCAGCCCATGCCGCGCGCCGCGCGCTTCCCCTCGGGTCGGGCTGGCAGTGCGCCCCCGGGGATGCTCCCTGCTGCGCCCCTGCGCCCTGCACCCGCGCTCGGGTCTGGAGGCGCTCGGCAGCTGGGCAGTTGCCGGGAACTGTTGCCACAATAAACTGCATCACGCGGCCTGGGACCTGGGCGGCGGGGGGACGTTTGTAACTGGAAACTGGAAGATCCGAGGCGTCTAAACCACAAGCAGGATGCAAACTGCAGCCCTCTGCAGAGGGAAGCGAGGGGTGGGAGGAGCCCGCTGCCCGACTGAGTTAGTTTTTTAAAGTACCCTAGTCGAAGGCATCCTGCGGGGACCTCTTTGTTCCTTTCCAAGGCCCCGTGGGAGCCTCTCCCCGGCCCCCCCGGACGCTGGGGACCGCGCGGAAGGCGGCGGCGGAGTCCGATCTCGCGAGCAGCTCCTGAGCGGAGGCGGGCGGTGCAGACAGACCGACGGCCCCCGACGGCAGGGTCACAGGCAGAGCTGGGGAGGACAGTCACGGTCACGCAAACAGAAACCCACACAATGAAGAAAACCAGGCAGCCGAACAATGGGTTATGCAAATCATTTTTATGGAGACTGCGTTTTGTGAGCTGTTACATGGTAAGGAAAGTGCCTGGCTAGGCATACTTCTCTCCGAGAATTAAATAAAAATGGTGTCGTCCACCAAAAAAGTCAGACCAGGAAGACTGCTCAAAGAGCAACAGGTTCTTTCCTGGATTTCTTTTTTCTTTTTGTTCTATTTCTAAATTAATTTTTATTTTCAATAATAAAAAAAAAGCTGAAAGGGGTCTTAGACATCATCTACCAACCCCTTATTTTACAGGCTGTAAACCTAGGCTCAGAGAGGTTGAGTGATTCAGATTGCGGTGGGCAGACTAGTTAATGAGGGATCTAGAATGAGGAACGGGGTGGCCTGACTCAGTGGGTCCATGAATCCACAACACCAGGAAGATTCCAGTAAGGATTCCTGGGAATGTAAAAATCCTGGATCCTTCCGGGGAAATTACTGGTCAGCTTTGTTAGAAGAAGCTGATTATTTACATCATGGCATTTAAGTTCATTTCACTCCCTCTCCTTACTGCTTGGATGGTGTTGCCTGTCAATTTTCCTTTCACTAAAATTGAGAAGCGAGGAAAGAGGGGATAAAACTCAAGTGGAAGCGTTATAGTTATTGAGCAAGGAGCTTGAAGGATTTGTGAATGAAGCTGAAACAAGGCTCAGATGGTGTTTGGGGAACATATCTGAAAGTATTAACTCATGGTTGTAATAAGTCACATGAAATATTCCAGCTGGGAACAGAAAAATTCTCAACTAAAATAATTTGACACAAAAGACACCAGTGAAATGTTCTTGAGAAAGTTTAATGAAAGTGTACAGGATGCATGGTGAAAGGCTTTTCTCTTTCCTTTCCTTTCCTTTCCAGGCAATCTGTGAACAGAGATTTGTTAAGCTGTCAGTGTGATCAATGGGGTGGAAGCCAAATGTGTTGTGCAGGTATCTCTGGAAGCATCCTATAACTTCCAAAGTTGTGAAAATGCTTTTTCTAGGGATGTGCTAGAGTCTACTTATGCTGCCTCAGGAGAGCTGACTGTCTGGAATGTTTGGACCTAATTGTTAAACACAGTCATTATTAAAAATTAAGTTATGTAAATTTACGATTAAATTAGTTATATTAAAAATAAAGGTAATAAATACAACTCCTCAGTTCCTAATTATTTTATTACAATTTACCGCTGCTATGTTTTTGAGTTTGTTAATGTTTATTGTGCCTTCATGATGTGCTACTGTGGATCTTTTTCCAACTCCACCTCCAGTGACATCACAGCCAAAGTGGGAATATGGACACCCTGAAAATCGATAAAAGGTAACAATCAGGGCTTTCTCCCCCAACTCCCACCCCTGGAGCTGGTTATTAAACATTTACCAGCCTAACGTGGCCTTTTCTCTTTTATTCTGGGAACATCAAGGAATAGCTCTGCTCTGCTTACCCTTCCCTGATTTCTGTAGCCACCCCCCACCCCCAGCCATGGAATGTGTGTGCGTATCATTTCTCCTCCTCCCTTCATACTGGAGTGTCCTACTAAGGCTCTGTGCTGTTGGCTCTTAATGATCGTGCTCTGGTCTTAGATAATTTGTTTCCACTTTGAAGGCTGCCAGTGTGAAAAAGCCTTTGATTTTCACCAAAACAGGGCCATCGTTTGCCTCCTTTTTTTTTTTTTTTTAAGGTAAGCTTTGCGTGCAAGTTGGGACTCAAACTCACCACTTTGAGATCAAGAGTCACATGCTCCATGGACTGAACCAGCCAGGCGCCCGAACACTTGCCCATTTTAAAGTTTGACTACCATCCTTGGTTTTTCTCTTCAGTTTCGAATAATCTTGAGAAGGTCAACTCTCCAATTCCCTATAGGATTTAAGCCTGAGTTTGGATCTGAACTCTTTTTTTCTCTGGAGTGATGAGGATATTGTAAGGACTTGTGTCTCCCAAATTGTAATGTGCACTCCCCGGAGACCTCGTTAAAATGCAGATTCCCATTGAGTAGGCTTGGACTGGGGCCCCAAAGACCACATTTCTAACAAGCTTCCAGTGGTACTGTTGGTAGGGCATCGCACTTGGGGTAGGAAGCGTATGGAACACATCTGAATATTAAATCATTACTTCAAAAGACAGATGGGAAAGAGGGAAGGAAGAAGGAGGGAAAGGAGAGGCAAGAATGAACGTGAAGTCCATACTTCATTTTACTTCCATCTAGGAAGTACGTCTGAGCATAGCATTACAGCTTCTTTTCCCTCCTCCCTGGTAGAGGATGGGTCTTTGTGAGGAACTGGGTCATGGCGAGGAAGAAAAGAAAATCCTTACTTGCTGTCACCCAAGCTCTGGAGTTAGGTTTTCCTCTTTGTCTGTTTTGAGCTGGCTATCCTTCCAGGGATGGTGGATAAACCAGAGGGCAGAGACAGATGTCGCCCTGCAGCACTGAGAACGTTCGTGTATGAGGGCAGGCTCGGTTGCACTGAAGAGAACGATTCCATGCTGACCTGCATTCCCAAACATGTCCCAAATGACCAATTGCCACAGTAATGGCTGACATCTTGGGTGCTTGCTAAGGATTAACTGAGAGAGGGAAGCTGATGCCTATGTTGGTGTTTCTATTTTATTTCTATTTTATCAGCCAGTTATTGGCTTAAAGCCCGAATTGGAAAACTATGGCCCCCGGGCGAAATCGGGCCCACTGCCTGTCTGACACGTGAGCTAAGAAAGGTTTTTATATTTTTAAACAGTTGAAAAAAATATTGGAAAAAAAATAGAAAAACGAAGCCCATTAATTAATCATTTGGGACAATTACATGAAGTTCAAATTTCAGTGTCCGTAAATAAAGTTTTATTGGAACGCAATCAGTCCCATTTGTTTACATATTATCTAGGGCTGCTTTTGTGCCCTGATACGTGAGCTAAGAAAGGTTTTTACCCCCTGGGCTGTGCTGGAACACCCTGTTGGACAGGAAGGCTGTGGAGTGGGGAACACCACCTCACTATGTTGAAAGGCTGTTTTGTATCCTGGGAGGTGGTGCAGGGAACATTGTAGCTTCTGGAAAAAGAAAAGAGAGCACCAGATTGTCAGAAACGAGTGGCATTTTGAGTGTCTTCTTGAATTTAAAGACCTAATTAAAAAACCCCATCTCATTCTGGTTCCTCATGTTCCTTTGTCAGACACTTCCACCCAAACACTGTAGATCTGGGAAACAGTCCTCTCCTTCGTACACACACATCGTGTCACTCAGACGTGAGGAGCCTCTGAGGTTTGCCTTTCTGGCACGTTGCCTCCACGACAGTACCAAGCACATTTAGAAACCTCCTGAATCTGTCTATGAACTACCGCTAGTAAAGAAGAAACAATTGTACCGGAATATTGTCACAAAAAAGAGGCAATGACAGAGTTGCGTCATCAAGATCTTTGTGACCCGATCGGTGTCCAAATGCCTGCAGTAACACCAGCAATGAATTAATGGAGTTGCTTCAAAATGCAGAGGGCAGGCCCATCTCAGGCCTCGCTTTCAAGGACTTGATATGACAGATTCTTGCAGAGAACATCCAGAAAGAAGTCAGCCCTCAAACAGGGAAAAAATTGTGTGCCGAACTTTGGCATTAAGCCAACCGTCTTGGTGTTTGCTCATTCAACACAAACTGGGTACATACGGAGAGAAAACACCCATGTCAGGATAATCGCTCAGAGATTATTGACCTTGACCATAAATTTAGCAGGAACCATCTCATAGAATTAAAAGACTTCCATTTTCATCCCCCCTAAGAACCAGTTCTGGGCCACGTTTAAGGACTATGTGGGTCTAATTCGGGGCTGTGTGCTTAATGGGGTTGTGTACAAGTAGAAACAATACTCACTGAATGGCAGTTGGAGAGGCAGGCTTGCTTTTGAGAAAGCCGTAACGACTCCAGAGCTTACACATGGCAATTTTCACACACCGATATTCTCACAATTAAAGAAAAGTAATATTTAAATGATTTTTTTGGCTTCCAATTTTGGCAGTACATGGGCCCAAAGCACTGAGACTTCTCAAATTGCTGGTGTGATTTTTATCGAGCCGGCCTTGAACGTATTGTTGGACGCTGCAGGGGAGCTGGGCTGCTGCAAGAACTGAATGACTTCAGGGAGAACAAAGCTCCCTACAAGACTTGGATTTTTTTTTTTTCTCCACTGGAATGTGGTGGAAAGAATGCTGGGCCAGCTGGCTCGATTCTGACCTTGGTCCCACTCTGGGCTAGTGGACCACCTTCCAGGAAGTAATTTGGTTTCTGGGGGCCAGCCCCTCAGGCTTCTAACACAGATTCCCAGCAACTCGGGCACACCTACTGAGTCAGAATCTCCGAGGATAGTGTATTTTCAGGAATCTTCTTGGGTGGTTCACGAGCACAGGCAGGCTTGTCCCACTGCAAGGAGAACAGGAAGAACCCAGGGTTTGG